GACAGATGGACATTGCGCCCTGGATGGGACCCAGGACACCTCACACCCTCGCTCTGCTGCCGATTCCGTGTGTAGCTTTGCCAGAGTTGATTTCTCCCCCCTTTCCCTGCCCTTTCCCCGCAGGATGAGAGGCAGAGGGGGGTCCATGTGTCCCACACCGACGGGAGGATGCTCTCCGGAGCAAGGCGAGCCCAAGGCTGAGCTCCTGCCACCACCTAGCGGTGCTCCAGGGGAGAACCGGGCCACCCCCCCCCCCCGCAGCATCTCCCCGGCTGGGCCCTGCCCGGCAGAGCTGAGCCCTGCTCTCCCCCCTCCAGCTCCCCCTGCCAAAACACCCCCCCCGGGGGGGCTTTCGGTTCCTCTCAGTGCTCCAGATTATTTGCTCGCAGGAGTTTTCAGACTTATTTTCCTGACGCAGATCAGCTCTCTGTTTCTCCACTGCACCTGCAGTAGCTCTGCTATCACTGAGGATTTCACAGAATCACCGATTCGTCAAGGTTGGAAGGCACCTTTCACATCATGGAGTCCAACCATCAACACAACACTGACAAAAACACCACTAAACCGTGTCCCTCAGCACCACCTCTGCCCAGCTTTTAAACATCTCCAAGGATGGTGGCTCTACCACTTCCCTGAGCAGCCTGTTCCAATGCTTAACAACCCTTTCTGTGATGAAATTTTTCCTAATATCCATCCTAAACTTCCCCTAGCACAACTTGAGGCCCTTTTTTCTTGTCCCATCGCCTTTTCCTTGGGAGAAGAGACCGACCCCCCTGGCGACACCCTCCTTTCAGGGGGTTGCAGAGAGCGAGGCCTCCCCTCAGCCTCCTTTTCTCCAGGCTGAACACCCCCAGCTCCCTCAGCCTCTCCTCACAAGACTTGTGCTCCCTCACCAGCTTTGTTGCCGTTCTCTGGACACATTTCCTTAGAAATTTTAATTTTCAAGCTGTTTGGTCCCTCCTTGATCCTTAATGAACACAACCAGGTTTTCAGGAGGGCGAGGCTTAAAGGTCAGGGGCAAGTTCAGCCACAGCCATTGCTCTGAGGCCTGTAGCGAGCCCTAAACTCACTAGCCATGGCCTCCTAAACCCCTTTGAGCTCTCTCTGAAGCCCAGTTTTGCCCCACAACAGCAAAACCACCACTGGAGACACCCCTGCAGATCCCCCACCCCACAACCCTCCCCACCGGCCGGGACTCACCAGGGCTGGAGGAATCCAGTAGCTCCAGTGCAGCCAGTTCACATCCAAGCAGCTACTCCTATCACGCTGAGCCATCACACCCAAAACATAGATTTACTGCCTGAAATGCCTCTCCAGTGTCCCCCAGAGAAACAAGTCACCTCACTGGTTGGGGAGCAGGAGGGAGTGGTGGGCCACCCCAGCCCCCACGGCCCAGCTGAGGAGCAATCAGGGGTAATTGGCATCTGCTGTGGGCAACTGCCAGGCTCCATCCCACAGCTGTCTCCAGCTCCAGCTAAATACCGGAGCAAAGCCCACCTGGCTGTCTCTCGTCAGCATGTAATTGCTTGTAAAAAGGGTGAATCCACCCACCTGGGACCTTCCAAAACAAAGCAGGCCTAGAGCTGGGCCCCAGCAGCTCAGCCACCGCTGCTGCCGAAGGAAAGAGAGGGTGAGAGTCCAGGGGAAAGAGAATTAAACCCTGGGGTGACAATCCTGCCTGGGTGCTGAGCTGCTGGGAGGAGATGGACATAGCCACGGCCCCATCTATAGGTCACAAAATCACATTTCTTACCTATTTTTGCATGCTAGAAGGTGTTAATTTTGTTCACGGAGGGCTCTGGGGTGAAATGGGTGCAAGGACATAATGGGTGTACCCACATTTCAGTCACTCGCCTCGCTCTTGCTCCTGGGCTCTCAGCCTTTCCCCCAGACACAACAACTCCATGGGGTGATTTACACCAAGCCCACAGACAGGATATTGCCATCCTCCTTGCTCTAAAGCCCCCAAGATAGAGGTCATTACCAGAAGTGATCTTTTCAAAGGATAAATGCTAATGTAGTGTATTGTGAAACGTTTTATTCACGAACATTAACAAGGTCTATGAAAAAGCTGGTCTGTGGATTGCCCTACTCTTTTGTTTGTAGCTACAGATTAAATCTTACGTTGTTATTTATTTCATCGAGGTGCAAGAATCGTGTTGCAAGGAGCTAACAACAGATACAGCACAAGCAAATAAATCTGTGCTCAGGTCCCCAACTGTTTCCTTAACATTCTATAAAGAAACACCTGCAAGAGGTAAATGGGGAATATTGGTTCTGCCAGGAAGCCTTGCAGGTTGGGACACAGGCCCCCCCCCTTTCTGTAGCAGCAGGGTCAATCAGATGCATTTTCTAGCCAAGGATAAGTTATTTCTATCAGTAAAGGTCATAGCACTTAGCAGAGCTGTAAAAGCCCTTTATAAAGGAGAAACTGAGACCTACAAACACAAAGGGCTGCCCGAGTCACCCAGCGAGGTGCCAGATCTCCTGAGAGCCCGTGCAGAGCACCGAGGGACAGGGACACGGCTTGGCAAAGGCGCTGAAGGAAGGTCCAAACCCTGTGAACTCCCACCTTGCTTCTCAGCAGTGCTGCTGCCTATTTCCCTGAGCCTGGGGTTCACAGACACCCCCAGGTCAGTGCCCAGGCTGCTGCTGAGAAGTTGGCAGGAGCTCACAGAGAGGACACCCCATCAATGGAGGCCAAAAAAGGGACCTTTGTGTGTGCAACCTCTCGGGGATCTTCCAGGAGGACACTTGTGGGGCTCAGAAAGCAGCAGTTTGACAGTCAGAGGGTTAGCTGGGTAACAGCAGGCAAACAAGTTGCAAGAGTTTAACAGAAACATGGGCTGCTACCTTTAGCTACAGCTTGATTTTCTCACTCTGCCAGGCAACTCACCACCAGCAAAATTTTGAGTAGAGCTGGAGGGAAGAAAAAAGGAGAATTTACAATCCAAATTCCAGCAGCTGCCAGCATACTCATTCACATGAACTTTTCAGAACAACATTGCTTTGAAACTCTCTATTTTAAAAAGAATGCTGAAGCAATTTGCTTGCAGAAAGCAGGCGCTGCTGCGAGAAGACAGATGCTGTTCCTCATTTTCAGCAATACTTTCACGTAATACCAAAATATTTGGCACAAAGCAGCCGATTAAAGAAATGCCATCGCTGACGGCAGATGGTATTTCTCATCCCAATCCATAGCCGCCTGCTAACATTAGATGTAATCTGATTGCAAACACAGCGCGTGCATTTTTTCCAGATGAGCAAGCTTTACATAAGTTTTCACTGCCCTTATTTTAGTTTGTTAACAAACATCCATCCTTATGAGCAAACAGCCTGATTACAGTGTTATCAAATGAATCCCTGCTGCTCCCCTCAGCCTTCCAGCACCTGAAAATATCAGCAAAATGGCCTTTCCCCATTGTACCACCTGCTTAAAACACCTAGATTTAAGTTGCTCGTACTCTCAGGAGCCGGGGGGAGCCTTGAAAGAACCCAATTTAAGGCCATGGCACTAAATTACAGCAAGACTTTCCCTATGTAAGAGTCTTGGGAAATATTCCAGGCAGCAGGTCTTACCTTTACTTTAGAACAAAATGAATTCAATCACATATTGATTTGCTGAGCACTTTTGCCCCAGTGAGAACTCACCATGGATTTTCCTGAAAGTTTACTCAAGCGTGACTCTATGCAGCAAGAGCTACGAAAAACAGGATTTTCTTCAAGGAAGTTGCACGTCTATAAAACTCATCGAACAAAGCCGTGCACTTGCCAAATAGCGGCTGCTCGAGTTATGAAAGAGAGTTTGTTTAACAGAAAACAAGTGAATACGTGTCCCACTGCCTTTCTCTTCCTCGTTGCTGGCCGAGGGACAGGATTCAGCGGAGGCAGCTGCTTTGCAAAGCACCGACAGACGTTCGAGTCCATGCAAACACGGGGCGTTAATTAATGCTCATTTGGGGCAGACATTTCAGAACCAGTGAATTTCTTACAGCCACAACAAGGGGGGTTGTAAAAAAATATTCTACCCAAATCAGCTTTTTTCTACTCACTTTCTACTCCAGGCACCATCCTTGGAAGTATTTAAAAGACAGGTTGGCATAGTGCTTAGCGACATGGTTTACTGATGGTATTTTTAACCAGAGTTAGGTTGATGGTTGGACTAGACGATCTTAAAGGTCCCCTCCAACGTAGACAATTCTATGATTCTAATTCTCAGAGTCCCTCTTCCCCAGTAAAAATTATAAACCAACGTCACAGATTTGCTTGTAAAACAATGCTCCTGTTTGCCACTGGCTCTGAATAGGCACCGTTTGGATGCTCTGAACTCTGCTCTTCAGAGAAGCCAGACAGGCTGACTGCCTTGTGCTTGTCAAAAACGTGGTGCCCAGATTTAAAAAGCTTCCAAGAACAAAATGAAGTATGTTTTTCCTACGCTCTCAAGCACTGAAAACACACAGGTCCAACTTGTTCCCGCTGCACAGTAACTAGAACTAGAATTTGACAAGTTCCATCATCTTGATTTCAACAGCCACCCATACAGTCCTCCAACCACCTCCAGCCACCTGCAGATGCTGAAACACTCAGCAGCTGGTCTTGGCTCAGCAGAGTAAGTCACACAGTGAGGAGGCAGCAGAGACCACCCTGGATGATCATCATCAAGCAACAGCAGCAGGAGAGATGGGTCTTGGTCACAAATTCTGCATTTCTCATGACGAGCACCAGCCACATCCCCTACCCCAGGATACTCAGTAGACTTGGCAGCGTTAGGTTTACGATCAGACTCAATGATCTTAAAGGCCTTTTCAAACCTGACTGATTCTATGATTCTATACATAAAAGTCCACGTAAGGTACTCACTGCACCATTGGCACACAAAGGCTTTGAAATTCCAACCTACTGCAGACTTTTGAGTCCTAATTTCCTCTGACGATCCATAAAACACAGGTGATTTATGAAACCTCCACAGCAACCGGGCAGTAGAAATGAAGGCAACAGAATAAACTTCATTGTTTTTATTCTGCAAAGCAATATGCACATCTTACAAACACAAAATTAATCTAGGAGAGAAATGTCATTTCCAAATCAGCTATTAACCATCATGCAACAAGACAAGTGAAATGTAAGAACAAAATAAACCAAAAAAAAAAGCCATCTTAACCCTACAATCACCTGCAGAGGGTTGAAAACCAAGGCTCAGATTTTCTATGTAATGCCAAAGAAAAACGCAAAAGAAAATGGCAGCTTTCTAAGAACAAGAAAACACGTACAAATAGAATCAAAACTGATTCAAGTCATAGTTAAAAAGAAAAAGAAAACAAAAAAGGAAAGATCAATATGATCTGAACTTTAATATTAAGTTTTTACTCTTCTGTTTGGCTGCATTTAACTTTTGTACATCGCGCCTAGGAACAATCCAAATATTCCTCAGTATTACAGCATTCCAACCTGATGGACACCCTCACCTCTCCGCTGCAATACAGGGGTGCAAAGGGATAAACTAAGGCCAAAAAAAATTCAACTATCTGACATTTCCCCAGTTGTGGGTTGCAATCTTAGTATTTCTGGGTACTTCAGGACAGCGGGCGATAAACTGCAATGCAAGCTCCTCTACTTACCAAAGAGCAAAACCAGATTAAGAAACTTCTGTTTTCCCCAACAGACCAAACTCCAGTTAGAAAACTTGGAGTTTGATTTTTAATTTGCTGAAACAGAAAGGACTTGGCTTTGCTTTTTTTTTTTTTCAAAGGAGTCGTGTTACGTTGGGTGTTTTCTAGATATTTCCAGAATTTGCAACACCACCCCGGATCCGTTTCCTATTCCTGCCTTTGGTCCCCAGATCAAGCCACCCTCGTAGGCAACTCTAGAAGTCAGAATTCCTGCAGAAGGCTGGGTTTGTGTGAATTAGGAACAGCTCGGACAGTTTCCATGAGAAGCCATCTACCTGTTTTGACTTCACCGATTGATTCCAGCGAAGCAGCATCAGCCCATAGCAGCATCAGGAGAAAACTGGAAGCTTCATTTTACCCCTCGACTTCAAACTAGGCCATCTCTAAAGCTTTGCCTTTAACATCCCCGGAGAAAAACGCTTGTTAGTTAACACCACTTAAGTAACTGAAATTCTACAAAGGAAACCATGTTCTGAAGAAAAGTGTGACTATTTTGCTTAAAGACTTGTGAACTTACTGAAGTGCCAAACACACAGACCAGTAGGGTACCACTCCATAGTGTCTATACGTAATAAACTAAGAATCTTATGCCAGCATAACTGAGACTCTGAGATTTTGACTTGGGTTTCTTCTTTTGTGTAGTTTAGAGCAAAACGGGGAGGGGAAGAAAGCTTATGTGTTTTGTATACAGTTATACTACCCGACAGGAAAGCTGAAAGACAAGATGAAAGGTCAATTAAGGCAACCAGTGAGATTTTAAAAGCAGTGGTGGAAATGTCTGCAGGAAAACCCCGACTCCTGAAAATTAAGGAGGCTACTGAGTAAGAAGCCAGAAAGAAACAGCGAAAGCCAGAATGGGAAAGGGAGAAACACACAGAATAAACCATCTGATTTAAGAATGGACACAGAGAACAGTGTGTGTTTTACTGTGTGGTTTCTTTGACCTTAATCACCACAGCCCTAGTTCTCTCCCCGTCATTCTCCCCTGAGCGGGCAGCATTAAATGGAAATCGGACAAAGCTAATAAAAGTGTCATTTTCAGCTGCCCTTCAGAGATGGATGGAGAGTCCCAAAGTGAAGCTCTATAACAGACTATGGGATTTCTTTTCCTTTCATTATTTGCACTTGCCCAAGGCTGTGCAGAGCCCCAATAGACTGTTAATACAATACATCTTTTTATTAAGTTTCACTTTCTAAAAAAAAAACAAAACAACCAAAACAAAACCAAAAAACCAAAACCCAAAAAAAGTTTACAGAAAGCTGCTCTGCAGCAAAGATTCACAATCCTGGTTTGAGGGCTGCAGATGGGAAGCCAAGTGGAAGGCTTTCCAGATAGTCTCTATGCTGACTGATTCTCTGGCATTCAGCAAGCCAAATGGAAAAAAAAAAAAATAATCAAAATCAAACTTAGCACTTTTCAATAAGAAACATTTTAAAATGGGACTTCACTTCTTTTTTTTTTTTTTTACTATGAATAAAAGCACAAGTTTTTCCTAAATACAGCACTATTAAAATGTGACTATGTATTTCTTTTTCCAAAAAAAAATCTAAAATGTTGATATCTTTTCTTGCAAGCAAGGAGCAAATGGAAGAAAGTATTAGGCCACACAAATATACATTTAATTCATGTAGTAGATTGGTGGCTTTGGAAATGCAGTATTATATCAAAGGTGCATACTGTTTCAAACACACTGTACATATCATTGGGCAAAAAAAAACAAAGATCTGTTGGTTTGTTTGAGACACTTGCAAAGGCATCTTAACCTGCCCAGATGCAGCTAGACAAAAATATCTTGCTCTGACTATATGTAGCCATATCACTAAACATATCTACACAAACATTCGGCTATGTCCACAGGTAAAGACTGAAAGGATCCCGCCGCACTACAATGCGGAACAAGTGCATCATCTGACCTATTCTGAATATACTTTTATAAATATGTACAAATCAATTACAGGCACTTGAAATGTCTTTGGTTGGAATAAACCAACATTGCAAGATAATGTATTCACAGAGTGTTAAGACCCATTCTGGGTTCAGCAGGCAATGATTACGGTTCTCAGTCATTGTCAGTACAAGGAGAGGATGGATTATGCTTCTGACAAAGCAACCTAAACAAAAGAAAAAGAAAACATTTCATTAAAGTCAAATTCTTAATCCCGTAACAGTGACATTACTTATCTCCATGCAGCTGGGCATATCTGTCCTTGCTTTTTCAAAGAGCCTTGAAAAGTCTAACTTGAAAAGGAAATCAAAGTAAGCCTGAGGGTGTCCCGTACTTAGCATAATCAATTTAAAAAAAAAAAGTAAAAACCAAAACACTCAAACGAGCTTATGCTACAAAATATCATTAAGATCAAAAGGTGCTAACATTACCTTCCTACTTCACAATTAAATATATTCATATTGAAGCAAAGTGCAGGTCTCCACTGCAGTAGCAAATACTGACTGTTTCAATAGCTTTGTCATTTTTTAAACTTAATTCCGATTAACAACAATTAGAATTACAGATCCTGTTTTATTCAAAGTTTTCAATCTGTTGTGATAAAAGTTAATAAAACTACTCAATGCTTCATACAAAACGGTGCAAATAACATCAGAATTGTGGCAAGAGTTATGTTACAGCACTTACTGACCTGCAATAATCCACTCCTGTAGGAGAGAAATCTAACTCTGAGGATCTACAAAGCACGTGTGTGGATTCTGTAGCACCCATCTGTACAACAAAACACCCGTGTCTCTCTGAAAGGGAATTAAATCTACATCTCCAGAGATAATAGAAATCAGCCTGTACTAGGTACGGAAGGAGGTTTCCTACGTTTGATCAGAGTCAATATTGTGTTATTACACACTCACCTTTTCAGAGCAGAACTCTGTATTGCTTTGCCTCAGTTTGCTTGGTCTGCCTTTAATAACTGCATAGCAGAACATCGTAATCACCATCACAAAAAGAAAGTAGCTGGTATGCATGAGATGCAGGTTTATTAGAGAGCGATCATCCTGCACAGAGAATTAAAACCATTTAGTGACAATGCACCAATAGTTGGCATTTTATATTAAAGCAATAATTATCAGATCAGCACAGAAATTACTTAATGAATCAACTTTCCCCCCTTTGTGCAGCTGCGTAGTAATGAAAGCCATTCCTAATTGTGGCACAAAAAGATCCAAAATCTTCCTCGTGTTAAAAATTTGTACTAGAGATCTCTTCCCATACACTGACAGTGTCTTTTGTCAAACAATTTCAAAATATAAATGTTAGTTATCAAAAGCTGTGAGATTACATGAAGACCATCATGCCCACCACCTCAACCCTTGCACTACGTAATAACCCAGCACTGAATAGGACTATTTTAAGACATGAACAGAAATATATTCAATTAAACCAGAGCAAAGCATTTATTCAACATAACACATAAAAACACTGTAGCACTTACATCTGGAACTATAACAGTTAGTTTGGGGTTTAAAGCATGATACACTTTTCCGATTGCTCCTTTGTAACACCAGAAAGGGTTGTAATCTTGTGCATATTTTGTGTTAGAGTCTCTTGCTGTGGTAAAGATCTTGTACCAAAGCGTAGCGTTGCTGTATGTCTCGGGAACACAATGTGGTGGTTGACTGCAGAAAACCAGAAATAATTAGCACCTCAATTGCCATTCTCCACGTTCAGTAAGGAGAACTTTCAGAAGTGAGTCAAGCCCAGTCTCCTCAACAGCAGCATGGTTTTATTTTGGACCTCCCAAAACAACAAAAAACCCCAAAGCTTAACCGTAAGGGTGTATAAAAAACCACTTCTTATACTAAGTTTAGCATTTAACTGCATGTTGTTCCAGTAAGTCAACATCCCACAGGTGAATTAGAAAAACACTGGTTTTCATAAGGCTTCACAGAGCCATGTGAATCCAACCGGTGGTTCTCCAGGGTATATTGAATAGTGTCAGAGAGTCTAGAGCAGACAAAGGGAAACTATTTTGATGAAAGGTCTGTACCTGCTGGGACATGGCAGCAAAGCAGCATTCGGCTTACGCTGATCTCTCAGCAGGGAAGAGGATAAGAACCTCAGTGTCAAGCCTCAGCTCTCACACAAGGCAGTGAAACTAAATTATAGGGTATCTTTCTTAAATATTCACAGATCCTTTTGCTCCTAGTGAAGTTTAAATCACAGGTAGCATAGAATCATAGCATGTCCAAAGGCAGGTAGGGATTATAGTTCAAAACACCCATAGAAAAATCTAGTGTTGCTAAAAGACAGCAAAAGTCTTAAGACTTGAGACGGGGTTTTCACTGTGGGGGAAGGCAGGCAGGTACACAACTTCCACATTCATCAAAAAGAAACAACCTCAGAGAACCAGCTGAGGAATTAATCACCCAGTAACCAGTCTATGAAGGAGTGTTTGAAATGCACTTACACTGTGACAGGAAATACATTGCTGGCTGCTGTCACAGTCATGCAGGTTGTGAACACGACCTGCTCGCAGTGGCCATGAAGAACGCAGTCGTCTGAATTCCAGGCAGCTGGCAGGGTGAAGGTAATATTGATTTCCTCGTGGGATTCTCTGCCTTTGAGAGAGAGAGAAGGAAAGCTGTTTTTTGTCCACAAAAGTATCTGAGCAACAATCACTAGGATAAGAACAACATGAACCATCACCCTGACCTTCAAAGTCATCCAGGATCTTCACTATTAACAAAGAGAGCAAAAAGGAAGTTAAAAACCAAACCACAAAATCCCCAGGTGCTGCTCTTTCTAATCTCTCCCACCCCCAGAAGAAGTGGGGTGATTAGGCTTCTTCCAGAAATTAAAAACTCACTATTTATAAGTGGAATCATGCATGTTCACAGAACTTCATTAGAAAGTAAAATCAGATCTTTAGCCTTTCCCCTCCCAAAGACTTTGCTCCACATTTGCTTTTCCTGACACTTACTTTTCAAATTTGAGATATTTGTATAGACAAAAAGGTACTAACAGATATTGAACTGCAGATTAAGTAGTGTATGTTAACTCCATGTGGATATATTTATACTGAAAATAAACCCAGGCTACTGGAAATGGAACTTGCATTTGATAGCTCTTAAAGCAGCAACAATATAACAACAACATAAAATACAGTAATAGAGATTTACAGCTATGGTAAATGTCTCTTCACAGGTCTTTCAGGTTCAAGAAACCTTCAGGCATTACTATAAAATGCAGCCCTGGCTAAAAGCTAAAATTAAATTAGGTTCTTTTATCAATTTCCACTAATTTCCTACAATCTCCTGTCAAAACTTACTGGCAGGGCAGCCACGCAGCAGATCAGTCTCTTCACAGAAATTGTAACTATCTTATTTGATGCTGTTTGCAATATTAAAGATTATTCATGTACGAATATTAGATAAACATTATTTTTTTTTAGACAACAAGCTACTTGATCTCTAATGCATCAACATTAATGCCTTTAACATGTGAGTTAAGGACTTGAAGATGTATCAAGACAGAACTGAAGAAAGTCACCGTTGAAGCTTTCACTACTTGGAATTTTGTTGGCTTAAAAATTACCTTCCATTGTCATTAGGTTAATCATTTAAAAGAGAAAAGCCTAATCTTGCAAACATGCAGGGGTTTTTTCCGTTCAAAATGCAGGGAAAAGTTTTTCAAGCAAACAAGTGAAGGGCTTTACATAGGAAATGTACAAATTCACAACAAATCTGGAAACACATATATGTTCTAAGCAAAAGATTTATCTCACCAATAATAAGCTGGTGATTTCTTATTTGATTATGTAGTTACACGCAAAATTTTAAAGGCCAAGTCTCGCATACCTGAGAGTCCAATTTGGTGTCCAAAAATTGTGGAACTTAGATGTGTGACATTGCGGGAATATCCACCAAATGGTCTGAGTGGGTCCAGCGTCAGTGTGATTGTAACAGAGATGTTTATGGGACCAGAGTCCTCAAGAGTCTGTGGAGACTGTGTAGAAGATCTCGCCTGGCCGCTCGTCACCGTACTTTCTGGAGTGGTGGTATCGTTGATGAGATGCTTTAAGGTTTCATTCTCAGATATACAGAAGTCCAAATCATTAAACCTCAGGAGGAAGGTATTCCAGTCCTTAAAACAAAGGTGAAGATTTCAGCCAGATTAGCAAGTTAAATGTTGGCTGCTGCTTCTCGAGAGCGGTGCGGACCTTGATACGCACCAGCCCGCCGGCAGTTCCAAGCCATTTAACAAAAATTACATGGCTCAAAAAGCAAGCACAAACACTGCCGTGGCTGTCTAAATGAGGGGGCGAGTTGTTTGCACAAGTTAGATGTGTTCAGTCCCAGCCACTGCCCGAACGCTGCTCAACACAGGGAGAATATCCCCCTCTAACCTATAGAAGGCATATACTGACTTGGTCCCTTACCACGCTCAGGGGCTGAGTGGTTTCTAGCAAAGCTTCCCTCGTTACAGAACAGCATTACTAGGTAAGAAGTTTCACAAGCAAACGAGCTGACACAGCAGAGTAAGAAAAAGAAAGGCTTCCAGCCATGGTAGGGAAGATGCAAGTCAGATGATTCGCCCTCATCCTTGAAATAAAACAAAGACTATTCAAACATTCGCAGCAATAGCCTCTTTCCTTATGAAATTAGAGGAGAGCACAAGTGAAGAAAGTCCGCCATAAGACTGGACACTTCCATGAGGGGAAAAAAAAAAAAAAAAGTCATTAGCTTTTCTGGGGAGAAAAACCCCATGCTCATTAGCTTCTTTTGGGGGGAAAAAAACCTCATTAGCTTTGGGTATGTCTTTCAACTTAGCATTCCCACCATTCAGCTCAGGAACTTTTGGTACCTACCTCTGTCATTTCTGGTGACTTGATCTCCTTGATTTTGAAGAAATAACCCAGTGTCAGAAAAGCTATTGCCATAGCGCTCACGCTGATCATAAAGACCACCAGCGGAGGTCGACTGCTGATGTAAACCTTCAGGTTCTCCAACAGGTTTATGTTGAACATTATTCTGATTGTTCACCTGAAAATAAAGAATTTCACAACAGTGACCGGGCTGTGTGTGTTACAGGGTGGGGGTTGGTAGATCATATAAGACAAAAATTTGACCCAAAAGAAAAAAAAAAAAGGAATCATGCTAAATTGAGATTCAATTATATGGCTCTCTACTGTTCACTGAACACAGAGTCAGTGTGCCTGAAATTAAGCACAAATCAAAACACGCTTGACTTCACCTTCTCAGTGCCTGAAACTGCCAGCAAGGAACAGATTTTAAGAAATGAGGACAACTTCTAGCACAGCCAAATATCGCTGATAAGCAGCAAACCCAGTTCTTTTCTTTCCCCAAACACCTAGGCAGGATACACACTGCTACACTTTAATTCCAGTAATACTGGAATTCGTCAAATTACAGTGTGGATGGAGTTGTAACGCAGCCACAGATCAAACTTTGTACATCCTCACACATACTTTTAAAGCTGAGGCTGAAACCTTAAAGCTCCCCTTTTACCCTGTCCTTAGCCCCAAGGGACCAGACCTTCAAAACAGGATCCGAAAAGCAGCTTACATCATTTTAGGCTTCTGCATCAAGAATCCTGTGGTCAGAAACATCTAACACCTGCACGAGGGTGGAGGCTGGAAGAAATCCCTTTTTTTTTTTTTTTTAAGTTCTTGCAGGATCTAGAGAACTTTTGCTAGAGTCTGTAAACAAAGAGAGGACCTTACAAATGCTGAGACGATATGTACTTGTCCTAATCTAAGGTATGTCACAGTGAATCATTAATTTTTCTCCAAAATATAATATTTTCTCTGATTCCCCTCCTGAATTTTCTTTTCATTAGCAGAGCAGAAAGAGCCAAACTCAGTTTACTGTATCAGCTCCTCCACCTCCACTCACAACAAAAAGCAAACAGTCCAGTGTTAAAGGGCAGCCTTGCGGCATGGACTTCAGAAGCTCTGCAAGGAAGGAGCTTCAAGCAAACCTCTTACCTCTGTCTTACCTAAAATCCTGGCTGGAAAGGCTTTTAACACCAACTGAACTACAAAGGCAGTAACTCTTCCTAGCAATGTGTTGTTTATCCCCAAAATTCGTGGGAAAAGGCAAACTTCAGGACTGGCATCTAAAGAATTCAGGGCTGCAACGGGTAATGTTTGAGCATTCGTACAGATCTGATAACATTTAATTAAGTCAGGGACTCAGCTCCCTGCAGGTCTGGGTGATTCCCATTGACTCTTATTAGCAGCACACTTCGTTTACAACCCATAGGTAGCAGGGCTGGAGAGTGGGAAGCCTGAAGAGGAGAGAGGGGAAGAGTTTTGACAAAAAAAAAGGGCGAGGGAGAGAATGATCTTTGATCTGATCTATTGATTTAAAAGAAAGCAAGAGAAGGCTGTTCCTCTTAACAGAAAGAATATTCAAAAAACTTGCAAAACTCTCCCAGAGAGGGGAAATTCAACTCACTGAGAAGAGACCTGAGCTCCTGTGGCCATAACACACCACCGAGCCATGCACACTAACGTTCCCCATCTCCTCCTCACACACCTACTTGCTCTCCTCGGTGAAAGCTGCTGAAACAGCACTTACTCTGGAGCACAACATCACAGCCTGGGGTTACTATTTTGCACCATCAACCAATTTTCATCCACTCTGCAAAGACCAGGAATGACAGGGTGCTGCAAACCTCTTCACAAAAATATAGAGCGTTTCTGAGAGTGAACAGCACGATGCAGAGAAAGGATGGAGAGGAGGAGAAGAGAGGAAAGAAAAGGTGATGATAAATATACACCTTACCAGAACTTCCATCTTTGCCCAGGACCAGATTTCTGGTCAAGAAAAAGGTGTCAGGAGAAGGCAGGAGCGAGAGGGAAAGGGAGACCTGGTGTTGGCAGGGATCATGCTGGGTACGATCCGCACTTCTGTATGTTTTGCCTCCTATCACTGGCAGAAAATTTCTTAAGTGAGCCCTAGTTAAAAGATCCCAAACGCTCCATCTCGAAACATCGGAGACACACGTTGAGATGGAAAACGATCAAAAGATAAACCAAGAGCAGAGTTGTATTCGGTGCTCCCTTCTGAATTGCCTTTTGAAAACACCACCACAGATGCGGGCTTTATTACAGCATTTAATCAAAGCTGAATGTCACCCTCAGCATATACAGTCCTGGGATCCCTTTTTCGAGGGGCTTCCAACAGCTCCATTAGCTGTACTTGTTTACCACAGGGTCTAAAATCAGCCATAAAACTGGGATGTGCTGAAAGGCATACATATGACAATATTTGGGCTAATATTTTTATGTAAGAGATCACCAGCTTTTAAGTGCCGGTTGCTTAATGTGCTCCCATAACTCAACGGCTTTGAAAGCAATTAGAAAAATGCTATAAGCTGCAATTTCCGAAGTGTAATATGCCTTTTGAGCATTTATGAGAGAAAAGGGAACAACTGTGGATTTCAATACTAGAGCTGACATGAAAATAGCAATTGGACACGGTTAGTGCAGAGCAGAAGGCAGAAGAATGTTTCCACGCTGCTGCCTGAAGAACTACCAGTATTTTATGAAATAAAGTGCTTAAATAACACTCGTTATCAAAGAACTTGTGAAACAGATCAGTGCACGCAAATCAAAATATATATTCCCACTGGATTTTAGGGGTTTGGTTAATGGCCCACACATTTCAGCCCCTCTGTTCTGTTAGGACCTGTTATAAACACAACACAAACGCTGTTCTTCTACCGGCTCTGGTTATAACTAACAACTTCCTCTGCGTAAATGAATAACCTAAAGAAGACAATTTAAATTTTTACTTCTTTTTCACACAGTTAAAAAAAAAAGAAACCGAACGCTATTACCTCCCGGCAGGTTCAGGAAAGCCAGATCAGATTTCACTTTTTAGCTAAATAAATAATTTAGAAAGCGGCTCTAATAACTGCCGCCTGCCTCGCTCCACCCCGGCTAAGCCTTTTAATACTTGTGCAATAAAAATCACCCCAGTCAGCCTAACGAGCAGCTCAAGCACAACGGGAAGAATGAAAACTGCCAGCCTGGAACATGGGCCACCAGCTCCAAAGTAATTGCCCGGTATCGAGGTGCGTAGACGTCAAGAGAAAACACCACATTCAGGCAATTCCAGCTGACGGTCCTCATCAAGAAACGCTCGACCAGCCCTGGAGAGAGATTGTGCTCTGAAATCAGGCCCTGCAAACCCCAGAAATTCTGTTTAACAGTTAAAAAGGTAAAAATGTTAAAGGATGGAAATACACGAGTTAATGCGTCAGAGTCCCTGGCAAAGACAGAATTGGGTAACCATCTAAAACGCAAGGAAATAGCCACTTATTCTACAATTTAGGGGAGTCTTCCTTCACAATAGCTCAAGAGTGAGTGAATGCAGTAACCTCAAAGAAGCAACATTTTAAAATCCTCCTTATTTGTACATGAAACTGTATAGAAAAGCTAACTTCTGTAATGGACCTATGAGTTTTTTCAAGAATAAGTTACAAATAAGGAAAATCTTGAAGTCAATTGCAAAGACCAAAAAGTCAATGGAATGAGTCACACAGATTAAATTCCCATTTCAGGGCTTAATATCAAAGGGACTGAATTCCTTACAACAATTAAAAAAATGCATGCTGTACAGGTAGGTATTAAAAGTAAAATTGTAGTTGCCAAAAGGAAAGAAAAATATTTTTAAAGTGATCAAAGTAAACATCTGACATAATTTTTACATGTTTTTTGCCATGATGTTGACTAGTCTTTCCACCAAAAAGCTTAAAATCATGTAGTTTCCTTACAAATATTTCTCCTTCGTGTTGTGCATGTAAGATAGTCACAGTCTAGAGGAGAAAAATATTTGGGAGGGGGTTAAATAATAAAAAACCCCACTGAAATACCTTAAGGAAGAAAATTGTGGGTGGATGAGAAGGGCAGAAGGCCAGCACTAACCTATTCCAACACTCCATTAAGACCTCTCATGTTTTCTAAGCCTGAACCTCTTATTGCACATAATAGCGTTTAATCTTAACTGTGTAGTTCAGTTTATTTATAAATCAATTACATTTTCTAAGATGTCCCATTACTACAGCACAATGTGAGTTAGGAAATGGGTCACATCAGGGTTAACCGCTTTGAATGAAAATAATGTTGCGTGCCAGAAAAACACTCATAAACACAAATCAACCCAACTGTGATTTTCCTACCAAACCATCCATAAATAACATGCAAACAAAGAAATGGTGTTGATCTCAAACTAAAGTGCCTCTCATTTAAGAGCACTAAACAGCAGCAGGTACCAAAAATATCTTTAATTTGGGTTTCTACTCCTCAAACCAAACTTGATGTCTAACACCTAAACCACTAAAAATAGTAGAGCAAAATAGTTCGCAGTTGTGTTTACTGTGAGGCTGCTTATTAAAGTTCAGAATATTCAAAATGGTCTGTCAAAGCATTATAAAGACTAATTATTAAGAATAATTATACGTATCTCTAATATCACCAGCCCATTGAACAGAACTAGCGAAAGTAACCTCACTTGATCTTACAAGTGAAAATAAAACCTCTGCCGGTTCTCAGAGCAGCAGCAATTATTACCTCCCCCTCCTTTCTTTTAAGTGAAAGAAAACAGGATAAAAATTAAAATTAAACAGAAGGTTTTGAACTCACCAAAAGGCTGCCCTTTTTTGCCCTGAAATGAACTACTCGTTTCTACTATCACAGTTTTTACAGTCAGTTTCTTTCAGGAATTGGGGAAGACTAATCATGATTATCTTTTTTCTTTAAATCTTTGTTAGAACTTCACAACATAATATTTTTATCATAAAACACGCAGTTTGGAGGAAAAGAGGGTTTCCCTACTAATTTAATAGGAAGATTTACTTTACCGTACTGCTCTCTGTGGACACAAAGAGGTGCCAGTACCTGCAGCTGCTTCAGTTCATCCTTTTAAGAAGCGTATCGAGACCCTGTGGGATGAAACTGTGGAGCCAAAACCCTCTGCAGCAGCAGAAGGGCCGGCAGGGCTGACTCCTGGGCGTTAAAAAAAATAAACCAAAGTCAACTGACTCATAGTAAATGCCACCAGCTTTCTTCAGAGAACAGGGGAAGAGCCTTACGGAGGAAGAACGTTGATGAAAATATCAGCTGGGACCCTTCAATCCACCGCAACCGAATACAAGCGAAAGATCAGCAGCCAGATGTGCACAAACACATCGCCTCCCCCAAGACAGCTCCAGGAGAAAGCACCCAAGTGGGAGATAAAAGTGATTCAGCTCAAACTGCTCAGTAGCTCATCACAGTTTTCCGAGCTATTTTATCCCGTAAGTATATTTACTGATTAAAAAAAAAAAAAAAAAAACCAATTTTCCTAGAGTCTGGAAGCAGAAAGCGTGGCAGGAAAATGGCCTGGCCCTTTGCACATGCCAAGGGCACAGACAGAAGACACTGTGCAGCACAGGAGGAGAGCAAGAATGTCACCTGCTGAAAAGGAGCTTCTTTCCTCACGTTATTCTGATAATGGAGTCCGTCAGGAAGCAGGTTATTAACAAACCCCTGAGAGCCCAGGGACTTGCCAGAACAGAATGAAGCAAAATGCCTCGTACTTGCATGAAACGTTTCTTTTCACCTCTAAAAACACTTTTCAAAGCATAATGAAGCACTTCAACATCCCCAAGAGCTACATAAACAGCGAATATTTCAGTCCTACCCATGAAACAAAGCCAAGGAAGGAAAGCAATTTGGTCATAGTAAATTCCAAGGATCAAATTGATACTGAATTTCAAACACCCAAATTCCTCACTGTAACTCTTGTTAAAGACAGAAAACTTACAATAAAAAGTAGAGGAGTTAAAAAAAAAAAAAAAAAAAAAAAAAAGAGAGAAAATTTGTGGCTCAGACATTACTCAATCTGTGTACACAAAGTTTCCAGATACTTAACAGCCCTTCCCAACAAACGCCTGTTGTAGTTCAATGTGTCTGTGGTGATTTAACACAAGCACCTGAGCAGTGTCAGCTGATGCTCCTGGAACAGCCCAGTAGATTTTAATTTAACACTTAAAGAAAAATTTCTGCAGAAACAGACAAACAAGTTCCAACTACTTTTTTTAAATGCTAAGGGTTTAAAACAACAACAAAAAAAAAGAAGAACCAGAAAAGGGTAGAAAAGTTATAAGCCAAGAAATATAAATGATGCAAGGAAAGACATTTATTTTTCACTGGTTCAATGAACCCTAAATTCTGACTCACGTAAAAAGGGAAAAACACAATTTAAACCATCCCCAGTTGTAAAATGAAAGTAAACGTAATCTCTGGTTGAAAATAGACATTTTGCTGCCAAACTTTAAAAAGTCAGCCCTGTTTGCCAAGTGAGCCTGTGCCATGGGAAAGAGCACACGCTCATACGCAAGGCTTGGTTCTGGCTTGGCCATTTTTAAAACCTTCTGGCTTTTACAAGTCAAAGTCATGACGTTATAATCTTGATCATACAGACTCCAATAAAACATACAATATTAGACTCAAGGACACAACGCTATTCTGGTTCCTGCTGCTCAGCATGAGAACCTGGGAGAGGAAGGTAAAAGGAAAATTATTCAGTTTTATAGGATCTGTCCAAGTTCCATGAGAAATCAAATTCTGCCGTGTACCGTACTGACAACGGGCAAACACAGGCAGTTTACAGAAAGGCTTTACTCAAGGAGCATGAAAAGTCTCAGTAACAGTTTAATAATCAGAAACTGGTTTAGTGACCAATTTAAGAAGGTTAATCGTTGACTTCCTGAAGGTACACAGTACAGAACTCAGCAGTGAAAGTAAAGAAAAATGCCAGAAAAGGGCTCTTCAGACTGTTTGTAATGAGAGCTGTGGCTTGTAATGAGAACTGTACGGCCAGGGAGCCGCAGACAGATACACAGCTTGAATCACAAGCAGAAAATGACTGACAAGTGGAGGAAATGGCAGCTCAGAGGAGACGGCAAAATAAAAGTTGTGGATGTAGAAAGAAGGTAACGCCGGCTGCGTGAGAGGAGGAAAACAGCCAGTGGCCACTAGCAAAGGAGAGAACACAAAGAGCAGCAAAAAATGACTGAAATAAGGGACTTAGGCAATAGCTGAAATATCAAGGATACGGCAGTAGCATCACCATGTCTGTGGTGCTTCAGCCCCGCTGCTCAGAAGAAATAGGACTTTCAAACTCAGGTAGATAAGTACAGTCTCCATTTTATGGACAGATAATTAATAAAACCTGACATGCCAGGGCATACACGAGTTTTCTTCCAAAACAAAACCTGGGAGCTCTGAGTCCTGGCAACCAGCTTTATTCACGGGTCAGAACGGTCTTCTCAAAAAAAATGGAACTCCCACCACAGGCTTGCTCTTGGGCAAGGGGAGGTTTGGGGAAAGCAACAAAATTCTGACACCAACGAGTTTCACGAATACCTAGTCTTGGGCTCATTTGATAAGAGCTCTATTTTGAAAAAAAATTATGGTATTTAACAACAAAAATTAAATAAAAATGATGACAGCTAACAGCTCCACAGGAACACCATGGGGAGTGTTTGGGGAGGGAGCTGGGATCCTGCGACACACACCATCCAGCCAGGGGCGATGGAGGTACCAGTCACTCCTCACACAAAGGACACCAAGGTCTGTCTGTCTGTCTCTGCCCTCGGATGCTCCTCTCCACGGACAGAGCACACTGGCTATTTTGTATTATCCAGCAGCATTTCAAGTTCTTATCTTTCAAGTGGGAAAGAAGAATGACATTCCAGCGGCCCGGAGCCATGAGGGAACAAAGCTACCAAGGTCTTAATCCTCTTTGATGGGACTAAATGGAGGGTCGCAGAGCCCTCAGCCTCGCAGGCACAATTCGTGTTATCTGTGTGTGCTCAGTCTGCCCACAAAAGTTGTCCCCTGTCCTACAGACACCTGCTGAGCAGAAGCTGGGTTTGCAGCCATCGGCTGGGTCCTGGAGACCCGAGGGTGGATGGAGGTGGCTCACGGGATGAACCTAGAACCTTTTTATACGTCCAACCTAGAAGCAAAAGGATTAATACGTATTTCCTACAACTCAACTGTTTATAAAAAATGATTTACCACAAAAGACAGGCCTGGCCACGACAGGATCTCATCTCACCACACACTCCCAGCTGCACAACTTCTCAGAAGTTCTATGAGGATGCAGACAGTAATCCTTACGGAATTCTACCTAGACCCAAGGTTTGGCTATCAGGACAAATTCACCTGTATAATTACACCGCTAGAGCTAATCACACAAATAAATCTCCCCAGAGGAGACAAGCCTTCAAAAAGCAAACAGAGGAGGAGGAGGGAGGAGAAGCTGGGCTGGACCCTGCTCTTCCCCTCGCCAGGCAGAAACGTGTCCCAGGGCGTCTGTGGCTACGATACGTGGTGCAAGTTTAACGGCAGGTGTCCAGCAGCCATGTTCTAGGCATGATGCACCCAAAGCCTTTTAATTACAAATAAATCATAACATCTCTAGACATGAGTTATATCAAAAAAATCAAAAGAGGATAAAATACATACCGTCATGAAAAAAAGAGGTTAAATTACATACCGTGATGAAAAAAAATCCCACAAACCCACCAAAAAAACAACGAAGGAATCACTATTCAGCAGCTACTTTGAAACGGAAATATTTTTAGCGCTACCGGAATGACTTTTCCTCACTATTTTTTGCTGGCGCGGTGCCACACAGGCAAAGCTCAAGCTAAGAGCCTTTTAAAAAAAATAACAATTATGTAAATAATACAGTAACACTAACGCTGAGGTACATCCCCCCACACACACCCCGAATCACCCCGCCGACCTCAGCACAAGCGCCCTGGAAGCGGGTCTTTGCGGCGGCGGCGGCGGCGGCGGCGGCGGGAGGGACGCGCCCGGCTCCGGGCCCGGGCTCCGGCCCCGCTCTCCCCCTACCGCCCCCCCGTCACACGCCGTTACCGGAGCAACCCCCCGCCCCTGCCCCGCAACGGGATCCCGGTGCCGAATCCCGCAGCTCCCCCCGCGGAGCGGAGGCGACCCCGCATCCACACACCCCCTCCGCCCCGCGCCCGAG